CCGTGGGTCGGGACCCCCGTGGGTGATGTGGTTTGTAACTTATATACCTGTACCTTTGATCATTAATGAACCGTTGTTGCTGGGTTGAATGCCCCAACGAGAACGGTATGGCATACCCCCACGCACCCCGCACCCACGCAGAGTGGTAGAGTGGGCCTTTCTTTGATCTAGACCATTTTGAAGCCGTTAACCTTTTCGAGCCCGAGCTATAACTCTTGCTTACTCTTAACTCTTGACTGTAGAATATACAATTCCTGTACTCGCTTGTAACGTTACTTTTTTGTGGTTCTTCGTCGAGTGTAGCCTTTTCATTGAGACCATTTTAGTGTGGTGTTTGTTTACCAAAACTGTGTAGAGTCAGAGAAGCTTTGTACGTCAATCCCTATCTTAAGAAAAGTATAGTCTCACTGATTTGTAAAGTCGCATTTTGCAGATCGAACAGGATGAGCAGTACCAATTACGCAACAGTGGATGAGCTAGAGGAAGTCATTGATCTAACTCATCCACAGACGTCCCAAAGTGAAGACCAGAGAGTCTCCTCTTTCCCTTCTGATGTTGGAACTCCTATACTGACATCGTCATGTCATGATAAGTCACAAATTACTTCGGTCATGGACGTGAAGGAGACCAAGTGGCTCCCAAAGACTTCTGTTATTGGGATTATGAGAGAGTCTGCGTCTGTCATGTACCATGTTTGTTCAAGAATGATGGCAGAGAGCCTGCAATCTCATAATTCTCTCGTTATTTCCATGCTTGAAACAAGTGAAGATGGCGTTCTGCATGTAATCCGCGGTCAGACAAGCAGTCAGGTTTTAAATCAATTGGTTTATCGCTTCAAGGCTAACGGAAATTGGGATGGGCGCGTTCCATTTCTGGAAAGCAGCGAAATCATGCAGAAGCGGAGATACAAGTGCCTCGGAGTGAAGCATTGTGCGCTGGTACCATCTTCATTTAGCGGGAGAAGCCATGGAAATAGTGAAACGTTTGAGCAGCTTCTTTCCGAACAGAGGGAGAGGAAGGATGGTAGCGCATCTGCGAGGCATACCGCTAAGCGTTTGGCAAGGACTTTGTTTTTGTCGGTGCAAAAAAAGTCAACAGTGCGGGTGGGTATTGTCAATACATCAGGACTCCAACTGCATCACAAGGAGCTCCAGGGGTAGTGCAAAAATGTCGAGGAGTCCCTAAATTAAGGAAAAACAGATCCACTGGAGAATATTTCCTTGGTTGTTCTGGTTTTCGAAAGGGAGATGGGGATAAACGGTCTAGCATCGAAGGTTGGGCGTCGCGGAAGCACTCATCTCAATCTCTACATGCGTTGACAGATGAGGCTCTGGTTGAATTGCAAGAGATTTTACATAGCGGGAGAGTCGCAGACTGCAGCAAAGAGGACTGTATGTTCTTCCTCAGCAAGGGAAAGAGAACTGCTCAATGTCCGGATCACGGAACATCTCTTATTGAGACTGGGGCTTGCCCTGTAAAATTAATCCTCATGCAACCGGTCGGTCAGGTGTCGTGCGATACCGCGGTCTACAAAAGAGGTGATATATTGCGAGGACTGCCTCGAGAACAAAACACAATTTGTTTTGCCTACTTTCAAGGAATACACAACCATCCCCCGCCACCCCCGCCTGTATCCTCTTTCGCGAAAGATACTCTTATTGTTGAAGAAGCTCGCAAGTCGAGAGGAGCCCCCGCAGCCCACATCAAATTGGAGGTTCAGAAGAAACTATTGCATAGCTTTGGAGCTAGAGGTTCCGGGGTTTCTGTAAGTGACCACAGAATTTACGATATCTGCACGGCAATGCAATCTGGCGCAAAAGAAAGAGAAAGCATTGGAACTTTGTTTGAAATGGCAGCGGATGAGAGAAACGAATATGTGAGAGAAGCCAGAACTGTGGAAAAAGGAGGAGCGGTGGTTCTTTTAGCAACTAATTCAATGATCGCAAAAGGAGCGACGTCATCTAGCTTTGCCGGAGATGCGACCTTCAAGACATTGGAAAATGACGTTTCTATGGTGAAGGTTGTCATGTCGACAAAAGAAAGTTTCAAGCCATTTCGATTGTCGGCTAAAGTCTCGTGGTATTTATACAATGTTGTAGCACAAGCTCATCCCGGCCTATCAGGAACGAAGGGAATTGTCGTCGCCAGATTCATGATGAACCGACTTACGCGTGATTCGTACTGTATGGGATGGAAACTGTTCCTGGATCACATGCAGACACACTGGAGAAGAGCTGTGAGGGCGCCGCAAAGTTTATGCTTAATACGCGTACCATACGTGTTCAATGTAGAACAATGCGGGATCCGGTGCATCGAAATCAGGTCAATAACTACTGACTTCGATGCCGCCGAAATAGAAGGAATTGCCCTGGCCCTTCAATCGACAATCGGAGGTTCAGCACGTATGCATGTGGAGAACATCATGATTGGTTGTACTGTTCATTTTGACAGGGATGCAAGGCGACGAGCGGCCCGACTACCGGTGAATATCAGAGATGTGTTCTATAGAACGATGATGAAAATGCGCAACTGCAGAAGCGTTATGGAGGCAAACGAGGCTCTGGACTACGTCAGATCGCTGGACAGGTCTTGGGCAGATTGGGTACTAAAATACCCCTTCAAGACGTTGGCAATTACAGCGTTTTCAAATATGGCTGATCAAAATTTCCGCACTGGATTTCAGGACACAAACATCGTTGAGAGCCAAAATAGGAGAGGACATCACATCTGTGGCGTGCAGATTAATCCAGCCATTGCCGCCAAACGACTCGAAGATCTCGACAACATTTCAGTCGAGGAATCGCTTGGATTGGATAGCGGGGTTGGCGCGTACAATATCCTTCGCAAGCGACCGCGGTTTGACTCTTTGGTTGCCCCATCTGGATCGAAATCTCCGCAGAAAAAACAGAAGAGATCCAAGTTTCTCGGTAATATCCCAGGCAGTTCCGAAAGAAAAATTAAAGCCTTCGTATCTCGTTCAGACACGAAGCATAAAAGTCGGAACACAATGAAGGGAGACTTGTTGGAATGAAAATGATTCAGAAGAATGTAGCTGAGGCAATGAACGAAATTGTCGAAGAAGCTTCAGCTGTACAGATGGAAAAGCTTACCGATCTGACAATGAATGTTGAAAATGCGTTATCAGCATTTGATGCCCGAATTGAGATTTTGAGTTGCCTGAAGGAAGTAACACAGGATCTTCTCCTGCGTAAAGTTATCTCGACGTTGTTCTTGAAAATTAAAACGAGTGGCGACGATATCAAGAATGCTCAAGGCTTGGAAAAGAATGATTCTGCCGTAAACTGTATTGATGTTGATGCTTCTGATAGAGATCTCTGAGTAGGCACGAAAGTAAAATGGTATCGAGACTTATGTGTTGAAGCTATCTGTGCTATCCTATTGAGTCCCATATTTCTTCTGAAGATCACCCAGGGACCTACGGACTTTGAAAAAGCGTATAGTCCTGTTAAAAGACTGACTAAACTACTACTTCGAGTATGGAACGCCCTGTTTCATGGGTCCTATACTCATGAATTGAGTAAGCCACCTGTTTTCAGGGTCAATGTTTGCATTTGTCCTTTGCTGAGGTGGTTAATGTTAAGTGAGCAGCAGGCAAATGTTAACTTGTTTACGGAATATGTAGTGTCAACCTCATTTTGAATATTGAATACCTTTTCTTGGGGGTTTGAAACTCATTATGAGTTTCGAACCCCTTTTTTGGTATTCGAAACTCATAATGAGTTTCGAATACCTTTTTGTGGGGGTTCGAAACTCATAATGAGTTTTGGGTCCCTTTTCGGCCTTCCAAATCTCATAATGAGTTTTGGGTCCTTTTTGGAGTTTCAATACACATGAAGAGAGCACAGTATGTATGTCGCCACGATCAAGCGTCTTTGCCATAGAAAAACACTCACTATGTTGAAGTGGCATTAAGTATATTAAAGTTTGCAGGATGTTGCCTTCTCATTTGCGCTTTATTACTAAGTAATTTAATCTCAATTGCGCAGCGTAATCCGTGACAGCTTCACCAATGGTAGAGAACTGGACTTTACAGATCGAACTCATGAGAATTGTTAAAACTACATCTGTTTGTATGATTTACCAAGATTGTATCGATTTTTCACTACCGAAAACAGTCCAGTTTATGTCATCCAGAAGATCAAGTGCGGTACATAGGTAATATAGAGTGTCCATGCGCATGCAGCAGTGGAAATGGTATTCCCATATTGATTTGCTCAGTAGCGGGAACATGTTTACTAGAAAATTAGACGGGTGGTCAATGTTTACCCAGTGGCAAGTAAATGTTTACTTGTTGGTCGGGGGTCAATTTTTACCCCGTGGAAAGTAAATGTTTACTTGTTGACGGATATTTGGACTGGACAGGCGGAGTGCTGTGATAGGTTGCAATACTTTGAGTTTTTCAAGAAATTCAATGGCTTCTTTTGCCCCTACAGTAATTGAGTTTATTGAGAATTGTATTAAAATCACGGTGCATATCGCGTATGATAAAAAACTTTATTTACAACCAGGGAGAACCCGCATGAAGGCCAGCTGTTACAGCACAGAGTAAACTTTCCCCCCCGCGTTCTGACAAATCCGCCACCATCAAGAGGCGAGCAACAAACAGCCCTTACACCCTGGTTGCTTCCTTCCACTCTGGAGTTCTACGAGCGTTCATTCACGAGGCTGTAATACACCCTGGGTGCTTCCTTCCACGCTCGAGTTCTACGAGCGTTCATTCACGAAACAGCAAGCGCAAGTACTTCGTCTCATCCTACTCATCCACACAAACGTCCCCACTCATTCCGCTTTCGTTGACAACGCCGTAGACACGTTGACCGTTGACAAAGACAAGAGTGCCACGCGCTGAACGCGGCCATCAACCTTCGCATCCCTGTTTTCCGAGCGACCGGGGCCGTTTTCACGCAAAAACACTCCGCACCTCATCAACTTCTCTTTTCTTTCTGTCTTGTCCTAGGCGTCTGGCTATTTACTTAAAAATGCAGGAAAGCTACCAGCAAGACTCTATCGATGTGTTCATAAGCCATGCTGGCCCGGACAAGCTAAACATCGCACGTCCTCTTTTCGAGAAATTGGAAGCTGATGGTAAAAAGTTCTTCCTCGACAAGAAATCAATGCAGCCCGGTGACTGCGGACCGGACGAAATGACGAAGGCCATGGAATCTGCGAAGGTCGGTGTTTTCATTCTTTCTCCCGAGTTTGCCGCTCGAAAATGGACTATGAGGGAGCTGCGCTGCTTCCTACGCCGACGGAGAGAAGCTAGAAGCGATGGGATGCTGCCGCCGACACTGATTCCGGTGTTTTACAGACTAAGTATTCGGGAATGTAGAAAGTTGGAGCCCAGTGAGCATCAGGATATTGAAGGAAACAATATTTTTGAAGTTGAGAAGTTTTTTAGCGAGGAACGACAGGGCGAGGCGAGCACGGAAATGGTGAAGAGGGAGCTACAAGAGCTGGCAGATATCACCGGGATAGAAAATGACGAAAAGGCAACGAACCGGTTGGAAGACGAATTCAGCCATCTTGCAAGAAAACAACTTGTGGAGCGAGTATTTCTGGCTGTGAAAAAGAAATGTGAGGAGCACTCGAGCGATGTAGTGACAGAAGGCGTACATGGCCCACTCGAGGAAGAGGCGAAGAGGAGCAGCGCCAGTGGCGATGCTCGTCATCAAATGCGTACTACATCCGCGGAGGACCCGAAGAAGGATGGCTTCAAGGCTTCGTTTCAAGTGCCAAAGAACCCGGACCATGTCATACTGAAGTTTGGACGCAGTGAAGATGCTGGCAACAGTACGGAACGTATGACGGCTCCGGAAGAACGATTGAGGCGGAGTGTTTTGCGTCCGGGAGACCGTCAAAATGTTGGTGCTGTTGGAGCGCGCCGTGGAGGGGTTGTGGGGACGAAGGGGATGGGAGGCATCGGAAAGTCTTGCGCCCTACGCGGTCTGGCCTCGGATGAAGAGGTTCGCAGCCGGTTTTGCGACGGTATATACTGGCTGGTGCTCGGTCAAGACGCGACAGAACGAGGAGTAATAGAACATCTGGCCCGCATCACGAGAGAAAGCGGAGGGGAAACGCAAGCGAAGGCGGTGCGTGAAGAAAGCGTGTTATACTCTGCGGTTTCGAGGGTCACAGAGTGGTTCAAAGGGAAGACAATTTTGTTACTTATCGACGATGTCTGGAGAGAAGGCATGGTCGGGAGAGAAGGCATAGCCGGAAGTAAAGTCATGTCAAGACTGAGAGAAATTGCGGATGTGGAGAACAGCAGCCGTACAGCGTTCACAGCGCGAGAGTGGGGCGTGGTGGAGGGAAGCGAAGAAATCCAATTTTCGACAAAGGAAGATGCTTCCTCTCTGGAAATCTTGCTAAAGTCTGCTGACATACAACGTGAAGAGGTTGAGGGCCTGGGGGATCAAACGGATAGGATACTGAGGTTTTGCGGTGGGCTTCCGCTTGCGCTGTCCGTGGTTGGCAGAGCGATTGCGAGACATCGTGAGATTGCGAAAGAACTTTGTCTGAAAAATGTGCTTGATGAGTACTTGGAGTGTCTAGAAGATACATCGTCAATACTATTGGACGAAAGAGCGGATGGGACGTACCTATACGAGAACCTGTCAATGGCGTTTGAAGTTTCGCTGTGCATGATGGATCGAAAGAAGACCAGAGATGGGCAGTTGATGTCCTACGCCGAGATGTACGAGTCGCTGGTGGTCATTCGGCGCCAAGGATGGTTGCCGTTGAGTGTGCTCTGTTTGTTATGGAGACGGAAAGGAAAAGCTCAGGCATTGAAAGTGCTGCACGAATTCGTGGAGGCCAGTCTAGTGGAACGAAAGGATGGAGTGTCAAGTGGTCGCAAGATCGCCGGAGTCAGGTTGCACGATTTGCAGCTCGATTACGTGCAACAGAGATGTGGGAATGGGGGAGAGAAGAGGTGGCATGAAAAGCTTGTGCAAGAATGGCAATGGAACGAGAGTGAGAACAGGCAAGAAGCGCCGCCGTGGGTTTGCGGGAGAGGGTGGAAGAAGGATATGGTGGAGGACGAGTATTTCCGACACAACTTGTGCCGCCATCTCAAGGGGGCGCAGCTGGGCGAGGATTTGTGGGATGTTTTGAGTGATGCCAGGTGGGTGGCAGAGAAGTTAACTCGGGCAGAGGGGCTAAATCTTCAAGAGGATTTCAAGATTTTGACGGACGTAGCCGGGGAAGACGGAGAACGGTGCGAAGCGGGAGGCAGGCTGTGGTCGTTGCAGAAGATTGCTAGACAGGCGAGGCTGAGTGCGTCCTTTGTTCGTCGAAGTTCGAGAGAGGTATGGTTTCAGCTGTACGATGGTCTGTTGAGATTCAGGAACGAGTCGGAAGTAATTGGAGAGTTCTTACGCAGGATAGAGGAAGTTGCGGAGAAGCCGTGGTTGAAGTCGCTTACACCTGGCTTGAACGTATCAGGCGCGGTGCAACACATATTTCCGGACCAGGGGAGGGTGGTGGGAATGTCGGGATGCGCAGCTAAGAACGAAGTGATCGCTTGGGGGGATGATGAGAAGCATCTGTTTCGTCGGACATTCCGGGACGGGGAAATGAAAGAAAACGAGTTGTTTGAAGTGGCATGGGGTGTGAGCAGGTTTTGGTCGGAGAACGGAAAGTATGTAGCGGTAGTACAGGCAGATAGAACAAGCGTGCAGGTGTGGGATATGCATACAGGAGCTACAGCAAAGCGAGTCGGACAGGAAGTGGATGTAGGGCACCTGGGCCGTTGCACTTTTGACTTGACGGGGGATGGAAAGCGAGTAGCGTTTGGGGGAGCATATGGTGTGGTTGTGTTGTGGGATGTTGAGAGAGGTGTGAAGATCAAGGGGGCAGCGAATATGTGGGGCCATGTTGTTAAGAAAGTATCGCTTTCACCGGGCGGGAAACGGTTGGCGTGCATGGGAAAATGCGGCTCAAACGTGTCAATTTTGATACTGTGTGCAGAGACAGGGGAGATGGTTCGGGTGATTGGCGTGCCGAGTATTCGACTGTTCGACTTCGATCGGCCCAAGTGGTTGATTTCGTGGTCGAAGAATGGAAAGCGGGTCGCGTGCGTGTTCAAGATGGAACGTAGAAAAATTGAAGGAACAGTATCTGAAGCAAGATTGTGGATCTTTGACGGGGAGACTGGTAGGAGTATCGCGGAAAGCGCGCCTTTGGAAGACGTTCGCTGTCTTTCATGGTCGGAGGACGGGACGCTGTTGTGCTGTGGCGAGTACTGTATCGACGATCTGGGTGTGGTGTCGGTATGGGACGGACGCTCGGGGAAGAGAATATCGAAATTTGATGATTTTCGGGCAAGGGCAATATCTCTGTCCGGGGATGGGAGATGGTTGGCTGCTTCCAGTTTCGGCGGGAAGGTTTCTGTGAGGGACACAAAGACCGGGGCAGAAGTATGGCGGCACATGGCGACACACGGGTCGCATGTTGAGGTCTTGGGCTGGCTAGAAGATGGAAAGCGGATGTTTTCTGTGGATGACAATTTCAATATTGTCATTTGGAGGTGGGATAATGTGGAGAGGGTGCAGGAGGAGGAAGAGGAAGTCGACAAGGTCAACAAGGAAAGGCGAAAATTCACGGCTGTTGCGTGGTCAAGCGATGACATATGTGCTACTGTGGTTGGAGACGGAGACGTAGTGATGTACGATGTGAAGACGGGGAAGAAGATGTGGGGGGATGCTGAGACACACGTAAGCCCTGTGCATTGTCTGAAGATGTCTAGAGATAGCAAGCGGGTGTTTACGGCAGCAGAAGATGGAAAGTTTGCGATGTGGGACAGCAAGACGGGCGACAAGTTGTGGGAATGCGGGGAAGACCGGGCCAAGGATAAGTACGCAGCAGCAGAAGCATGTTGGTCCAATGATGGGACGAGGGTGTTCGTGTCGTTTGGAAGGAGGGTGGGGTTGTGGGACGGGAAGACTGGGAACAAGTTATGGGAGAGAATCGCAGACGCCTACATACACATCAGGTGCATGGCGTGGGCTGGAAACGACACGAAGATCGCGCTTGGCGGTAGCGCTAACGAGGGCAGGGTCGTGCTGTTAAGCGCCAGAACGGGAGAGGCGATCAGGGTGGCATGTGGGCATACAGATGGCGGGGTCGTGCTGCGGGGCGCCAAAACAGGAGAGACGATGGGCGATGCCCCCGAACGTGTCCCAGATTCGGTCGGCCTGAAATGGGCTGCGGACCAAGGTCTGCTTGAGTTGTATTCAGACGAATTTGCAGACGAAGTTCACATAGATTGGTTCAACTTTGTGAAGCGGCCCTGGAGAGAAGGTGAAGAAGGTGTGCGGGCTTCGTTCTCTGTTGAGCGGGCTCCGTTCTCTGTTGGGCGGGCTCTGTTCCCTGATAATGGTTCTCCTGTTGCGGTGAAGTGGTCTCCAGATGACAAGTGGATCGCGTCAACTGGATATAATATGGTTGAAATTGATGAAAATGGGAAACCAAGCAGAGTCGGAGTTATGATCTGGAATTGGGAGACAGGTGTAACATATCGGTACCAGTGCCAGCTCGAGAGATATTATAAGGATGGTTTACCACGCTATCCGCTGGAATGGTCTGACGACGGACGACGCGTAGCCCTTGGAATTGGACGACGCGTAGCCCTTGGAATTGGAGAAGAGGTGATGTTAAGGTATAGCACAAAGAGTGAAGTTCTAATGCAGATTGCTTGGTTCCGGGACGGGTCGCGAATAGCGACGTTGGGGGTCGCGAATAGCGACGTTGGGTGCAAGGTTAGGTGGAGGAACGTTGCGAATCCTGTCCGTGACAAGTCAAAGCGCTGTCTGCGAAAAGCAATACGATGATGTTGGGTATCTCAGAGAGAGCGATCTGCGCCAGTTCATCGATACGAATGAGGGCAAACTCACGGCGGCGGATCTAGAGAGGAACCTGGAGAGGAAACTGAGGATTCGGCTAAAACGAGATGGAGTGTTCTACAAGACAGGAGATGACGAAATCCGCCTAGCAACCGTTGTGGGAGATCGTTGGTTCTGTTCTACTTCAGGTCGGCACATTGCGATCCAGGTAGAAGCAAAACTGTACTTTTACGAGCTCGTGCAGTAGTGTGATTGTGAGTGTGTGAATAACCACTGGGCAAAAGGGGATGTCCCGGCCAGGACAGGACAGGAGGGGTTGTACCCGTGGTATATGTAGTAAGGGATGATGTGCCAGGAGAAATTTGTATGTATTTGAAGTTGTTTCTAATTACCCGACGCCTCGATGCCCCTCTCCGCAAAAAAAGTAGCCGGTACATCTTTTCTATGTGTCGCGCGCAGTTGCGTCAGTGTGCGGGGAATAGTGTCGTCCAACGTAGAGACTGCGCGTAGCGAGACCAGCAAACAAAACTGGAGGCGGAACAGGCACATACGATATCAGTCGTTGTAGTATGAAGTTCAAGATATGCACGGCGGATTTGCGGTGGTTTTCGCTTTGTCAGGTATTAGAAACCTTGACGACGGTGTTGACGACGGTGTTGACGACGGTGTTAGCGTTGAGGTTGACGGCATGTGTAGCGTAGCGTTGAGGTTGACGGCACGTGTAGCGTCGAAGACGGGCGGTCGTCGGGAGGCTGTGGCTTGTTGGTAGTGGTGGGGGGAGGAGGTTTTGGGTTGTTTGGACACGGGCAACTGCTCGTGCACGGACACTCACACATTAATGTGTATTAATGTGTAAGTGTGTTGAGTGTCCCTGTTCCAACCATCTCTTAAGAGATGGTTGGAAACAGGGAGGAAGAAGACAGGGATACGGGATACCGCCGTGGCTATCCCATCAGCACTTGTTTGTGGTTACACGGTGTAAACCGTCAAGTAGACCGAGGCCAGGCACTCTTCCTTGTGCCTTCCTTGTGCTCGGTGGGATGGCCAGAGACGACATTGTTTCCTGCCGCGGCCATTCTTGCTCGCCGGACATTCTCACTCACCGGAGGTACGACAGTCAGAAACACGTTGCAACCTGAATGTGATATATACATGTATAGTGAAGTCCCTTCTGCAATACATTTCACATACCGTACGGCGGTGCTCTATGAACGAGTGTGTGTTTTGTTCACCGTCGAGGGCTTGGATGACGTTCCCTTCAGTGAGGATGAGGGTGTCGTCGGCGGAGGCGATCGGGATAGAAAGGGGGGGAAACGAGAGGGCGGCGATGGGAACGGCGGTGCACCGGGGCGGTGCACCGGGAGGGGCGAGTCTAATGGCCATTTCTGAGTTGTGAGTTGCTGCATTTTTCTTTGCTCAAGACCTTGTTTCAATTAAAAAAGCGTTTATATAATTTAATACTGTAGCGCACAAGGGCCGACTCTCAGCACCCGGCGCCTACCGCTACGTGATCAACTTTCCGTGATCAACTTTCCGTGTTGCCAAACCAAAGGCATCAACCCCTCCTCGTCCTTCTCCGGCACCTTGACGCCGTCAATCTTCGTCAAAACAATGTGATGGTCCTGCACATCCTCGGTATGCTCAATCGTGCAACTTGCCGCCACCATGCACTCTTCCTCCACCCGTGTCCTATCCTCCTTCCCCAACGCAGCCCTCGTCACGTACCGCTCGGCAATGTCCTTCTGCCTTGTCGAAAGCGCGAACAGCCTCACGCCCGCCCCGACCCCGCCAAGCCCCGCGTAGAACGCGCTCGAGTGCCCCACATTGAAGCATATCATCCCGCGCGCCGCCGCAGGCACCGTGACGGACGTCGCCGTCATCGCCAGATCCTCCCCGTGGGCCGCGCTGGTTGACACCACCCACATTGCCGACGGTATCTGCCGCAGCAACGTTTTGGTTTGCTTGTCCAGTGGGTAGAACGGCAGCTTGGAGCGCGGTACGTCGAGTGCCACCGCGCGCTTGGCAAGGTACGTGTCTCGGTAAATCGCCTGCACGAATTCCGCCTCGCCTAGGCTCACCACCGTTACCACCGCCTGTACCACGGCGCACCCGCCCACGACGGAGATGTTCTTCAGCGATAAGTCGGCCTTGACGCCTGTCTTGCGCTCGTCCAGCAGCAGTGACGAGGATGATGATGGCGACGACGTCGAAGGCCGCGGCGCGAGAAGCTCCACTCTTACCTGGTTGAGGGGGTTTTCCGCGACGAGCGACGCCCTTTTGAAAAACTCGTCATCCGTCACAAATAAGACCACCTGCTCCGGCTGCATGGAGCACCCGCGAAAGTTGTCAAGTTCAATCTCCGCCCCGTCAAACGTGCACCGGTAGTAGTTGGTCACTGTGTGGTGCCCAATATCAGCAACCGCTTGCTGCCGCTCTGCGGCGGAGAGGCCCTTCTCATCGCCGGAGCTCGTGGACGTGGAGTTGGGCTCGCTCCGCAGGGCGGGGCTGAAGATGTTTGCCGAGTAGAGGCTCTTAGCGGGTGCGTCGGGCCACGTGGCCTCGGCGCGGTCCATGATTGTGATAACTACTGACCGGTATAAGTTATACCGGTCAGTGGTTATCACAATCATAGCATCCCCACCGGTAGTGGTTATAAGTATAACCACTACCGGTTATAACTTATAACGTATAACCACTACCGGTGGGGATGCTCTCAGAGCATCCCCACCGGTACGCAATCAAATCAAATCATCAAATAACAACACTTGGCACACTTTTTCTGTAATTTGATTGGCTCCCTAGAATTTGGTTGTTTCTGTCGTGGGCACTGTACAGCGAGGACAGCGCTAGCCCTAAGCGACTGGCAGTGTCCGCGGCGGTGCGCCGCCGGTCCCAAAATTACAAAGGGGAATTTTACCGGGTACTTAAATCAAGGGGAAATTAAAGGGACTAGAAATCCGGGGGATACTCACGCACTCACGAGACAAGACCCCCGGTGGCTTTTGTGGCCTTTCGCTTCGCCTCGCTCGATCACCTCCGTTCTGCTCCCTCCGCTGCGCACGTTCAGGGAAACCGAGCCTCAGCTTTCGCTCGAGACTAACATTCCTACCACAGTTATGGGCCCAGGGAGTGGTTCGGCCCGCGATCGCGAGAGCCGTTTAGACCCTCCCTTCTTCTATCCGGATGGAGATCTTCAGGATTGGCGGCGGAAAATCGCTCGCTGGGTAGACCTTATAAAGTCTGCCGCTGAGCGTGGCACGGATCGCGTGTACGCCACGGTGTACGCCACCCTTGGGCGCCAGCTCTATGAGCGTGGCTTGCCCAGTGCTCAACAGTCAATTGTTGACGAAGCACAGGCAGCAAGAACGATCGATTTTAAACAAAACGATCAAGTCGCAGCCGTTCGAGACATTGTGAATCTCATCGCCATTGACCCCCCGATTGCTATGGTATCAAGGCTGATAAACTCGTTTCACAAGGTATCAACCTGCCGCCGGAGGAAGAACGAAGATCTCTCTGTTTTCGTGTCACGGTTCCGGGGACTGGCTGCGGAGCATCTTATGCATTCCAACGCATCAACGTCTTCCCAGATTGGTGAAGTCCTGGCAATCACTTTGTTGAACAATGCCAACCTCGAAGAGGGCGCTCTGACTAATGCCAAGCTGCAGTTAATTTCGTTGGCTGAAGCTCGGGCTGTCGAAGTGAATCCGCCAACAACGAGGTCGTTCTCCATCAAAGATCTCGACGAATTCAAGTCTGTTATTGAGAGCGCAGGAGAGCTCCAAGGTCCGTTGTACTTCCGTACAGACGATGAAAATGGTCTACGGAATGCCCTCCGTAAGTACCGCTCTCAAGCACGAGGGACAGGAAAGAAAATCCAGGACGCATTTCAGAAACTGTACACCAATCCGCAGGAAGATGAAACGCCTAATAATTCCGTAGCGGGTATCATCTTGTCCAAGGTGAAGCCTTGCAAGCTTCACTTAGATGACGCCGTTTCTGTCCTTGGAAACTTGACCCTCACGTCAACACAAGGTCCCTCGATGAGCATGAAGGACGTTGAAAGCCTCGTGCAGCGCAACGTCCGACAAGCACTTCTCGCCGTAGGGCATAAGGCTTCTGGAGCTGGATCCGACAACTTCGCCTATAATGACGTCGTACGCAATGGAGCTCGTGGACGTAGTCGGAACCCGCCCAGAGGAAGACGCAAGCGCCCTCACGAAGAAGTAGGAACCCGCTCCTACAGGACCACCTGTGCGGAGTGTGGTGAGCAGGGACACCTCCGTGGTGATCTGCGCTGCTCAGCGTCCGACCATCACGCGAAAAGACGAAGAACCACTGGGAACGACCGTTTCCGGAACACTGGGAACGAGTACAAATCTCCTGTTTTTTTTCGTCCAGGCTCCCGTCTGGGACGCAGAGACAACTAAGTCTCGTTTCCAAGCGGGGAGCCAAGTCCGACGTCTTCTCCTCACGTGAGGACCCCAATCCAATTTTAGACGTTGGCTGTCCGAGGAGTGTCGGCGGCATCCAATCCGCGGCTACACTCTGCGTGAAAATGGGAATCAAGCTATCCATTCGTCCGCTCGATTGCAAACCATTCTATCACGGATATGGAATGGAGTGTAGTGAAGCCGAGCTTGTGGTTGCCATATGGGATATGCCTGTTACGGACATGTACGGGACAAACATAACAATTCCGTTCTACGTCACAAAGGGAATTGGCTTCCTCCTTCTCGGCAACGAAGTGCTCCACAAGTCAAGATTTCTCGGACCAGAGAACGCCCTTGTCATACCACCTGGAGTGTGCGGCCTCTCACAGAAAGAGGTCGTGCTTCAGACATATAGTGAACAAATCTCCCCGGAAGATAAAGATGCCAAGAGAACGTACTTGTTCGTGGTACCTTCAAAGACTTCGTCTTTCGAAACGTACTTCGCATCTTTGCGCTCCCTCATGTCGAGGCAAATGGGACATCGTTTCGGAAGAACCAAGTTTATGGACGGAAAGGTGGCAAAGAGGTTTGCGCTCAAGCTTCATGGCTCTTCCCACTTGCCCCTTGACGATATGCTCGAGTTATGCAAACGAGGATCTATCCTCTCCTCAGTTCTTAGGCAAGCCCTCACCACTGTTGCATCGAAATGTACGTCTTGCAAGAGCACCGGAAGACCTTCCAACTCGAGAAAGGTCTCTTTCGGAAAGCTCCTCTCATCTTTCAACGACCACGTTCAGCTAGACTACATGTACATCACAGAGCTGGGTAATCAGCCCATACTCCACATCGTCGACGTACACACCGGGCTTTCCGTTACCTCACTCATGACTACACGAGAGATGGACGAGGCATCCCGTGTGTTCGATAACAAGTGGTGTGATGTACACGGTCCTCCAGCTGTTGTATCATCTGACCCTGAGTTCAATAACTCCGTGTTTAAGGGCTTTTT